ACTGACTTTTCTTCAAATCTCTGGTTCCATCCGAAGAGGATGCGCAGGAGAGTTTCAAATAGTCAGTGGTATCGCCGTTCTTGCCATGCGGGTGTTGAGCCTCGATTTCTCTAAATACGAGGAAGGATCATTGACCGATGCACCATTTTGATGGGAACTAAGTTATTTTCGTTATCTGCTTTAAACTTCTCGAACATCTTTATCTCCTGAGTCTCTGTTCAATCTGTTGTTCCTACTTTGTCGTTGACAACGTCGCAGTTTGACATATAGAGGCGAACGTTCATACCAACTGAGAGAAGGGTTGTGATGCCGTGTATATAGCAATTCCTCTAGGCTGTTCTTCAGAACATTGTTCAGGTACAGGGGTTTGGATAGCTTTTTTCTAATTAGATTCTTCAATATGCTTGATATAGATTGATTTAGTATCGCTGGCCTTTAATTCCAAAAGCAGCAGAAACGATAGTATTTGACATGATCTTCCACTGGAGCATTCCTATCCTTAATTTATAAAAATTTTGTAACATTTTGATGGTCTTCTAGAAGCGCATCTGCAGGAAGGCTTTTTGAATACCTGCCACATCGTGTTGTAAGTGTGAAAAGGCAGCAGAACTCCATTAATGGAGTGAGCGCCTGTCCTTTGTGACACCTATGAGACTGAGTCGTTTTTTCCATGTGATGAAGCATCGATTACAACTCGAAGTTCGGTTGTCTTTCTCATTGTCCAAACATGTCTATGTGGAAGATGAAAAGGCGTTACTCCTCTTGTGTGTACATTGCACTCCTCGATTCCATCCTTATTGAAGCTTTGAAGAATATCGTTGTAGATCTTGGATTTTTCCTAGTCTTTTTACAACGTTTGATAAAGTGCTTGTAAGGGACGAAAGGCAACCTTGAAATCGTCTTTCAGTTATTTTCTCAAAAGAATTTTTTTCGAGATTTTCTCTAAATTGATGATGGAAGATCTACTGTCGCTGCAAATCTTTTTTGGTACTGGCTTTTTCATCCTTATTTGATTATCTGTGCTCAATTGGCTTTGATGATTTTGCACCTTGCGTGGTATTTATATCTTCCGTATTTTTCCCTTAAGTTAAGCTTAGATGAACGATGCTGCAACGATAACGCATTTTTATCCTGTTCAACTGAGATATAAAAAAGTTAGGAATAAAACAGATTTGGTGCCACTTTAAGAAATCGATACAATGCAATTTTTTTAAAAAAATGTAATGACAGGCTCTATAGCTTTAATGAGATCACATCATTCAACATAGTGATTACTCTAAATACATCAAAATAACTGCCAAGTTAATTGTAATGGAAGAACCTGGTATGTGCACCGTGTTTTTGATGCTATGCAAGATCAGTGGATCAGGCGGATTTATACTGTTATCCAATTTTAAAAAATGCGTTGACGTAAACATAGTTAAGAATATAACTATAATCACTTTTTGAAAGCTTCATACGGTAAAAATCCGCTTGAAGACTGAAACCTGTCATAAAATGTAAGCGCAGAGATCTCTATAAGAGAACGCTGTTCTCTTCAGTTCTACATCGTGATGGAATTAGTTGACCGCTTTCTCTTTTTCTGTATTGTTCGCTGACTCCAGTAAAGAGACCTTTGCGTTTACCTAAACGTCATGATGCTC